CCCTAGAACCTTAGCACACAGTTCGGGAACCTGAGCACGAGGCACATGCCCATCTATGGGGAAAGAATCTATCTGTAGCTATGTGACACATTCAATTTGACACTTTGGACTAAACTCTTGAGCCAACTCTTTTACAACTGTTTGTTTTATACTGTATATAGAAAATGGGTTATTTTATTGGATTGCCTTCCTGTAGATTTTTTTTATTTCCACATAAAATGTGTTCCTATCAAAAATTTCTAAGGCAGCTATTAGAATTATATGACTAGAAATTTTACACCCAAACAGAAAGGAGAGGGGCAGAGGACTGTAGTTATTAGTACAAAAAGAAACACCTATTCCTCTCATTTCTGCCTATAAACTACGTGTTCTGAAGGGACAGCATTTAACCTTGAGGGTGGGGTGCAAGGAGGCCATGTGTTATGGAAAGAGAACTGGAAATTGGAGTCAGTTGAAAGTGGTATTAACCAAACTTAGGACTTTCAACCACCTTATCTCAAAAAAGTTTCTCTCAAGTTTAATATGCTAAAACCAACATACACATTCAAAATTATTTTGAATTTTGTTAGACTTTTTTTTCCATGATGAGCAAACACAAAAGTGGGTGCCTTCTTCCCAACATGAAACTATTGTGTAGGTGTCAAAAGCGTGTACATTTTATTTCAAAACTATCTACCTGAAACAAGTTTTGTGGTCCACTAGTTGGAACCCTTTGTTAAGAGGTTAGGATTTCAGTCAGATTTTCTGGCAGAGGCAAAGGGACCACGTCCTAAGACTCTTCAACCACCCAAAGTGCATTTGAACCAATTCATTTGTACACCACTTATTATTCAGCATTTGAAGCTTATTTAGTTTTAAAATTTACTTCAAGAAATTTAACGACCGCTTTCTGATTAAAATGAGCAGGTACCTACAAATATAATTTAAAATTAGAATTTTGGGGGCACCTGGGTGGCTCAGTTGGTTGAGTGTCAGACTTTCGATGTCAGCTCAGGTCATGATCTCAGGGTCCTGAAATAGAGTCCTGAGTCCAGCTCAGCATGGAGTCTGCTTAAGGTTCCTTCTCTCCCTCTCCCTCTGCCCTTCACCCCCATCTCCACTTGGGTGCACGCATGCACATGTTCTCTCTCTCTCAAAAAAAATTGGGATTTTTAATTATGCAATATAAAAACTGGGGTGTGTCTACACATAGCAACTTAATTGAAAGTTTTTATAGAACTGTCAAGTTAAATATACAGATTATTTCATGAATTTCTTTCCTAGAATAGTATGGTCTGTGAAGTGAGTTGATTGATCAAATCAGTGTTTTTACATAATTGTTTTCAAGTTATTACATATATTGAAAATACTCAATTTAATAATGCACCATTATTTTTACCTCCTTAGGAATTTGGAGGTATTTTCAGATATTAAGAAATAAGTAGGAAAAGGAATAACTAGATATGGATCCATGAATAAGTGTGGTTTCATGTTTGATCTCATTAATAGCAAATGCCAGACGAGGATCTGAGATTCTGATAATACTACATCAATAATTGTGAATTTATTTACATATTCATGGATTAAGAGTGGACTACAACATTCTTTAAAGATTCTTTTCTATCTGGATGGTTTGTTCTGAATTCTTAGCTGTACTGCTATTAATTTACTAGTCTATTGTTTACTGACATTCATTCTAGCAGTTAAGAGAGAATCCAGCAACTCAATTCTGTGGTCCCCATTCCATGCCATATTTCTACCATTACATTTCTCAAAGAGAAAATATTTTTATGTCCAACTGAAAGCTTCCTCCCTCTTTGGAAAACAGAAGATATTAACTCAATCAATGACGGTCAGTTTCCCCCAATTTTTTTTTAAGATTTATTATTTATTTTAGAGAGGGAGAATGAGAAAGCAGGGGGAGGGGCAGAGGGAGAAGGAGAGAGAGAATCCTGAAGCAGACTTCCTGCTGAGTACGGTGCTTGCCACCTGCAGCAGGGCTGGATCCCAGGACCCTGAGATCACGATCTGAGCCAAAATCAAGAGTTGGCCACTTCACCGAATGAGCCACCCAGCAGCCCCCAACTTATGTTTTTATTTTTTATTTTTCCTGTTGAGAACATTTTAATTTTCTTATGTTATTCCAGGGATTTTTATTTTATTTATTTTATCAAGTCACATAGTCTAAACAGAAAAATTTATCATTGATACCTTCTTTGAGTGGATTGATGAAAAGCATTTGAGTTTTTGATACCAACAAATACATGTTTCATATTTACTTGAAACTCATACCAAAATGAGGTGGTCAGCCTCTTTCATTGAGAACTACATAATAATATTCTAAAATAACTGACAAGCAGAGAAGTCACACATGGTGGACAGTAATAAGAAAGCCCATTAAAGAGAGATGGCAATATTTGTGTCCTTCCCTGTCTCTGTTCTTTCCTGAAATGTGATTAGGGAGGAATAGTCTGGACTATTTACTGATCCCACCCAAACTGACTCAAAGTGCTGGAGTATCAACAAGAGTGGTACTTTCTTTTGCTACTGGCTTCTTAGTTTTAGAGTTTGGCAGGATGCTAGTTTCAAGCTTGCCAGCAGCTGTAAAGGCTTTATTCTATTTTATTTCCAAGGTTACAAAAAAATGGTATTATTTATAATTTGAAGCACCAAAGATATAAATATCAAATGGTTAATATATGAACAATTTTAGAAAGGGAAAAATTTCTCCATGCCACATCACATTAACACTGAACAAATCTAGTATGCCAACTCTGTCAAATGGGAGTGAGGTAGAGGTGTTCTTGACCTTTTCCAGGCCTCGAGTTACACTATTGTTCATACTCAATATGGTTTTCTCTTCAGCACAATATTTGCTAATGGGACTTATTTCTACAGTTGCTTAAAAAAAATTTCTTTCTGGAAAACAGAACTAGTCTATATGTATATATTGCAGGTGCAGTCTGAGACAACTGATGATTTTTTAAAAGTGTCTTTTTTTTTTTTTTCACTTTAGTAACCAAGGTTACCAAAAAACACATTGGCAACATGTGTTTAATGTGAATAGTAATTCCTTAGGAAAATGGAAACAAAACAAAACAAAAAATATTTTATGATTAAAAACTCAGAAGTTAATGTAACAACAGAGTTTAAAATTCTGTATTTAGAATTTAAATTATTCTTATAATTATATATTTAGTATGTAAACATAGCCCTTAATTGTAAAAACATGTTGGTGTTTCTGGATGAATCAATCTACAAAGTTAGAATGATGTGGAAATAATACAAAATGAATAAATTCAGGATCCAGAGCGAGAACACTGTCTTAAAACATATGAAACTGAAGTCAAGAGAAAGATGTGCATAAAGAATGTAAAAACTGCAAATACCATACAAGTGTGAATTTTTATAGTGCTGAGTTCAGTTCACTTTTGTCTAGACTACGTAGTTGCAATTTACTCCTCTCAAATGGCTTTGTGTATTTAAAAAACTATATCCCATTTCTTCAATATTATACAAAGAAAGGTTCAAAGACTGAGAATAAATGTTAAAATGTGAAAATTCAAAACATCATTTAGCAGGAAGCTTAGATCTGATTTCTAGAATGCTGGACAGAGTTTCTCAGACAGAAAGTACTGAAGCATAGCAAGATGTTAATGGGGCAATTTATTAACATATAAATGAGCCCAAATATACTGGATTTTACAAAATAATATTCTATACGAATAGCTAAAAGATGATATTCCATTAATTGTTTTCAATTATGTTCTACTTTTATTAATGAAAATATTTCAATAAACTTGCCTTCTCCGTATTTTTTATGGCCAGGGTAATAAGGTTCTATAAGATATGTTGCTTAGCAGTCTAGACTCTCTTTGGAATTTGCTATGATTTTTTTTTAAAGATTTTATTTATTTATTTGACAGACAGAGATCACAAGTAGGCAGAGAGGCAGGCAGAGAGAGAGAGGGGTAAGCAGGCTCCTGCTGAGCAGAGAACCCAATGTGAGCAGAATTCCAGGACCCTGAGATCATGACCTGAGCCGAAAGCCGAGGCTTTAACCCACTGAGCCACCCAGGGGCCCCTGCTATAATTTTTATTTAACAGATTATGGTTGGCATTTGGCTATTTAAATTTTAGAAAGTGAAGTATTAGACTGTTTACCAAACTAACAGTATACATTTTCAATTCTGGTAAAAAGGAAGTCATAAAATCACAGACATCTAGATATAATAAGTTATATAAACAGTTATCTTAGCCTAATATCGCACATAGTGTAAAAATGTCCTTGTAGTGTTTGTAATGAGGTGGTCATTCCTTCATTCATTCAATCAACAGGTAATGGAATGCTGTGCTAAAAGTTTAGGTATAATAATGAATAAGACAGAATCAGCACCTGCCCTCATAGAACTTACAATTAAAATGAAAGAGAAAAAACACAGGATCCAAAGGAACTAGGAGAAAGGGATCTAACTAGGTTAGGCAAGTTTTCTCTGATCTGAGTTGGAAGGCATTTAGATTATTGAGGAGAATAAACATTGACAATATAAGTCCAGAGTCAAGGAAGAGTATGGTTTGATCTAAGAACTGAAGGAAGACTACTGATAAATTAGGCTATAAATATAGGGAGGATATAGATAATAAAAGGCCAACTGATTCATATTAAGAAACTTGAGTTTATCTTAAAAAGCAATGGAAAGCAATTGAAAAGCATATTCCTATCTTATCTTTGCAAAAACAAACTGAACCTGAAAATTATATTCATATTACAAAAATACACTGGAAATGGAAGTGACGAAACTGAAATATAAAGAGCAACTATTGGCTTCAGAAGCACAGAAATAACCTAAGTTCTTTTAAATACCAACATAAATCCTTTTCTATACTTTCTGTGTGTTTCTTCTTTAAAATAAAAATGCAATATGGGTGATCTCATTTCTTGGTGTGGCAGGAATATTAAATTGCCTAATTTAAAGCCATGCCCTCCACCCACTCCCAAATGGAAAATCAATGGTACTTACTACATCCAGCCTTATAGCTGAAGCCTGGAGGAAGGAGGAATCCTTGCTGGGCAGCTGCAGCCAGAGTCCGTTGATCAGGAGGGAACACGGGAATCATTAATGGCGGCAGTTGACCTTGAACCTGCTGAACGTTATAGAGAGAATCAAAGAGACGAAGTTTTGGTGCTCCATGCCTCCCACCCTCCTTACATTATGATAAAGAAAACCATTTATTCAATTCAAGTATACTGGCATACAAGCCCATACACTGGGCCTGAGGTCATGCCTTAGACAGGAAAATTAGAGTACACTATAGTTGGAAAGTGTTACTAAATTTACTTTCTAACCTAAGGAATAATTTCCCTAGATATCCTACATGAAGTACCACTACGTCATACAAGAAAGCCTTTTCTTATTGCCCTAATGTAATAATGGTTAAAAAAATCACCCTTAGGTTGAACTAAAATCTCCTTCAGTAAATCCTGTTAGGGAGGATGTTACCTTCTAAAACAAACTTAACCAAACTGGTATCATCTTACATATAACTAGCTTTTCGTTATTTGAAGATAATTGTCATGTTCACATAATACTGCAATTTTTTTTAACAAAAGAGCTGGCAAAGAAACTTAGAGAGTCACTAAGACTTTCCCCTTGATTTATAAAAAGGTAACCTGGGCCAAAAGAGGAGAGACTCATCCACGGACAAGGAATGGAAGAGTTAGATTAGGTCTAAAACCCAGTCGCCGGAATCTCGTTCTGTGTTATACTTTTGTCTTCATCTATCTTTTTACAATCAGTTGAACCACTCCTCAAACCACAAGGTCTCTGTTTTGGTTGCCATCTTTGGAATACACACTAATTTGCTTATGTCACTCTCAGAATACGGGGTTCACATCAGTAAATAAATAACTGAGCACAACAGAATCACTATCTTCTTTGAACTGAGCAGAGATTTCTAGAAATATAACCTAATATAGTCATTTCTGCAGCAATATGACATTAGTGATTAATGGAAAGGTTGTCATCACTAAAATAAGTTGGCTTTCCCCCCCAAATATTTAATTAAGCAAGATCACCCTGGTGAACAGGATTATTGGTTAGTGTTTGTCACTAAATATATGACCAAGAATTTAGGATCATACTAAAAATCACATATCTGACACTTCATTCTCCCTTACTCTTCCTTTTCCATGCATTAATTCATTTGGAAAATATTTAATTAACACCTACTATGCACAAGAAAATGAGCTTGTCAGTAGGGAAAGAAGAGTGAACAAGAAAAGCAAGATTCAATGTAACGTCTGCCCATTACATTAGAGTGGGCACAATGATTAAAAAACAAAAACAAAAACAAAAACGAAGACAAAACCCAGGAAAGATACGAAGACAAAACCAAGGAAAAATTGCAAATTCTCTCAGTTCTGAATCCTAACAGCAACACTGAGCCATCTCTCAGACTTGTTTTCCGTTTCTTTCATGGGCACCGAACATTCTTGGGGCACGGGTGATTCTCATAGAGCTCATGATTTCTCACTTTAGAAGTCTACCTTCAGTTTGCCCATTATTTCATCTTTCACAGTAAAGCTCTGAGCTATTTCTGAGATTTTGGTTGTTGAGTGTGCACTGTGGGCGGGGAAATGTCTGAGAAAAAGGTGGGAGGGAGGGGGAAAGAGACACAGAGACAGAGACAGAGAGAAACATAAGCATTACAAGAATGAGAGATCTGCTTTCAGCAATGGCTCCAAATTGGAAAGCATTTCTTTTAGCCAAAAAGATTTTAAACCTATCACTGCCACCAGAGTGAAACTAAAAAGGAATGACAACAAAACAGGAATACAGAGAGACAGTGTCTTAAGGTTAGCTTGTAAGATTGAGATCACTACAGCCAACAATTTTTGAGCATATTGGAGGAAAGATATACCTTACGTAGAAACCAATGGAAAATAATTGATTAAAGACTCAAAATTAGAGAGTGCATATTAAACAAGTTTGTAGGAATAAGTGGTCTAAAAGCATCTGAAGGCAAAATTGGCATGGATGCACATTTACTGGAAGAGGACACCGGGCAGAATGGACAAGAAAGAAACAGCGAAATCAGCTCCTGTATGTATTTTCTACTTCGTTGTTTTTAAGTTATCATATTGTATACAGCTCATCTCCTCCCTTTGAAGGTACCATCGGTTCTATGATGTCCAAATAAATTTAACAGCAGCATTTTAGAGAGAAGAAGAAAGGGACTTCAAATGAAAGGCATGTAAGGGTTATAAGAAGTACTCAAATTTCAAATACCTTAAAATTTGGGGAAAAAATAACTTTCAGAATTGTAGAAACAATAGGTTCTTGTTTGACTGTAGGAGTTCTCAAACTTGAATGCATATTAGAATCACCTGGCAAGCTCTGAAAAATTCTCAATGCCCAGACTGCTTCCCACGCCAGCTGAGTCTGAATCAATAGGGGTGAAACCCAGCCATGAGCATTTTTTAAAGTTCCCCTGATGATTTCAGTGCACATCCAGATTTGAGGAGTATTGTCTTTAAGAATGCTTTCAGTCACTGTTGACAAATCTTTTTGTCTCCTTCCTGTTTTGCATTGAGTTATAGAGCATCTTCAGGTATGTAAGCTGTTGAAGGGGAGACGGCCTGACTCAGAGGTTCTGGGGCCTGGCGGGTAGAATCAGATATTAAGCTAGATGGCTCATAGAATTCCTTCTAATTGAGTCTTTTATCTGTTTTTATATGTCTCTTTTGTGAGAAACTTGTGATGGTTTGCTTTTACCTAGAGAAGAACAACCAAATCCCTCAGTACGGTATTCAAGATTTTTCACAATTTGTCTTCAGTCTGTCTTTCCAGATATGTTGCTCTTCAGATGCTCTACTCTTGCCTCAAAGGACCACGAAGAGTTCCTTGCATACTCGGTGTTTTTCCATGCCTGAGTGTGTTCAAAAGTATTTTTCTCCTCTGTTTTGAGTGATTTCTCTTTTCCTTTTCTTCTTGGCAAAATTCTACTTATTTTTCAAAGGCTTTTGAGACCCACATAATGTGTTTGCCTGTGAAGCTCTTCTTTCTTGTGGTGCCAATTTTCAGGCAGAAAGAACTGTTACTTCTTTTAACCTCATAAAGCTAATACAATGCTTACTGTATTGAATAATAGTTACTTGTACAACTCGAGTCTCCCTGATGACCTACGAGCTTATTTAGGAAAGAGGTTGTAACTTATTACTGGACCTCTAGAGCTTAGCACAGTAGCCAAAACTATTATATATGTATATTGATAACTCATGAATAAAGAAGAATGAGTTACATAGTTCCATCTTCTAAAATACATCTTTGTGCACCAACTCCCAATGTCCACAAAAGGCTTCTGGGTAACAGTTGCTTACTGACCAGAAAAGAATCCAATTTCACCAAAGAAGAATGACAGCATAAAGTACTGCTTCAATGTTCTTATTTTTAAGGCCCAGCTAAATAGTCACATTACGATATGTCCATGAGTCTTAGAATTATGTATGCATGAAGAAACAGAAGAGCAATCCTGATATATTAAAAACTTATTACATATTTCTGTAATGGACAAATATGTCTGCCTATCATATTCTAATATCATGTTGTTTAATTATACCTTTCCAGTATGTTTTAATAATAGGTAAAGTTACTACTCTATCATTACTATTTTCTTTTTCAAATATTTCCTGGATTTTTTTAATATTTATTTTTCCACATTAATTTTAGGATATGGAATTTCTATTTGAATTCATTAACCTGATGGCTTGATAGCCAATAGCAGGGCTTATCTTTTAATTTATTCAAATCTTGTGTTGCTTCATATAATTCTTGTAAATTTTTGGTAATTTTATTTTTAAGTTTGTTTAAAAATACTTTTATTTCTGGGGTGTCTAGGTGGCTCAGTCAGTTAAGTGTCCGACTCCTGGTTTCGGCTCAGTTCATGATCTCAGGATTGTGGGATTGAGTGCCACGTCTAGCTCTGCGCTCAGTGCAGAGTCTGCTTGGGATTCTCTCTGTCTCTCTCTCCTTGTGCCCCCTCCCAGCTCCTATACTCTCCCTCTCTCTCTAAATAAAAATATAAAATCTTGAAATATATTTATAAAGGGAAGGTTTTCTTATTTTCTTCTTATATTGTTTAGCTAGTTTTTGCGTGCACATAGACTATTTGTGTGTGACAGTTTTTATCCAGGTAAATCACTTAAACCCTAATAATTTAACTAATTTTTCAAGTAAAAATTTGAAAATTCTAAGTGATATATGGTAATGAATTCCAGTGCTTTTAAAAATCTGTGCATTCTGAACCTTTTGTCTTTTTACAATTACGGAAATGCATTTTGCTTTAGTTTTATAATTTCCTTCAGTGTCTAAATTTTCCAAGATCCACATATATAGAATAATAGAGTTTTGAGGTTGAGAAACAATAAAATAAATATAATCCAAAATGTGTGGCTAATCCACATATGCAACTTAAAAATGCGTCTCAAAATATAGTTACTCATTATTTGTAGAATCTATATGTGCAAATTTGTCTACTTACTAAAACTTGTCACCTCTCCACACCCAAATTTACTTGTAGCAGTGCTCCTGCAGTCACTCACAGACATGTGCAAAGGAGTAAGACATTTTGTTGGTGATTTCACCATTTAAAATGCATATAAAATCAATAATAAATATTAATAAGGTATCTTTAAAAAGAAACACACATAAAACAAGGTTATGTGTTGATCACATAATGGTGTGTCCAAAGGCTCTGAGGAACCTAACTGTACTTTCCCCAGGAACAATTGTTTGATATTTGCTAACTCAGCATTCATGCCAACTTTACAGAACATAACTAGTGCCAATAATGAGTGCCAATTGTCTTACTGCTATATCTTAACTAATTTTCAGTTTATTGTTACTGAAATTTGGTCACCTTTTGGGAGAAAAGGACACATCACATTAAAACTGTGTAATGTTTTCTGAATAATTCTAAAACTAGTTTCTTAGAGGGTTAGTAATTCACACATATTTACAGTTTTGAATATTTCCAAATGCGATTCACTATTAACTTCATTTATTTTCTTTGACTTAATGCACGGAATTCCTTTTAAGCTTCTAATTAAGGTTTAAAATGTGTGACATTTATAATTGTTTCAATAA